ATTATTTCAGAATACTTCAAGCTTACTACAGGAATACTTCAAACTATCACACTCTAAGCGAACACTCAGTCTCCAATAGTCGGTGCTCGAGGTAAAATCCCCGAGCATGTACCGGGTGATCATTTGGGAATGAGATAAAGTAAGTGGCACGTGCAGATGTGTATTCAATAGCACACCAGACAGAAGACACGTCATTAGACTCGTCATCGTGGGACATTTTGTACTGCACACTATTATACACCTGCAAGCCACTGTTCATCTACAGCAGGTGCTCAAAGTGGCCACCCCCTTCTGAGCGGCACAGCTCAGCCCGACGGCGTGTGTGACGCGCCATCTTTCGCAGCTGCTCTTCGTCCATGTTGCAGGCGAAGTCCTCAACCAGTTCCTTCAGCTGTTCCAGCGTTTGGGGCTCGCTGCGCACGATCTGAGCCGTCACCAATGACCAGAAACAAAAGTCCAGACAAGACAGGTCGGGACTGTACGGCGGCCATCGGTGTTCACTGTTCCGGGAGATGACGCGGATGGCCAGGATGGACTCCTGTGAATTCTGGCTAACCCATGATGAGGAGTGGTTTGAGCGTGTACTCTGGAGTGACGAAAAGTGGTTTGTTCTGCATCCGTCTCCAAACAAGAAGAACACCGTGTGCTGGTCGCCAGAGAATCCGAACAAGCTCGTGCCATGCAAGGGCCCAGGGGCAGAAGGTGATGGCGTGGGTGGGCGTGGTGGATGGGAAGTGCCTGCCAGTTCACTGGTTCACTGGCTCCGTCAACAGCGACGCCTACCTGGAGATGCTGCAGACGGTGGTGTGGCCTGCGGTGAGGGCTCGGGCGACGCGCCACCAGTACTGGTTCCAGCAGGACGGCGCGCCGCCGCACGTCACTGCTCCCGTGATGGACTTCCTCCACTCGAAGTTCGGCGGCCGCGTCATCTCCCGGAACAGTGAACACCGATGGCCGCCGTACAGTCCCGACCTGTCTTGTCTGGACTTTTGTTTCTGGTCATTGGTGACGGCTCAGATCGTGCGCAGCGAGCCCCAAACGCTGGAACAGCTGAAGGAACTGGTTGAGGACTTCGCCCGCAACATGGACGAAGAGCAGCTGCGAAAGATGGCGCGTCACACACGCCGTCGGGCTGAGCTGTGCCGCTCAGAAGGGGGTGGCCACTTTGAGCACCTGCTGTAGATGAACAGTGGCTTGCAGGTGTATAATAGTGTGCAGTACAAAATGTCCCACGATGACGAGTCTAATGACGTGTCTTCTGTCTGGTGTGCTATTGAATACACATCTGCACGTGCCACTTACTTTATCTCATTCCCAAATGATCACCCGGTATTTGAACTGCTCCTCTGGGCCTCTCACATTCCTCTGACCGGGTTAACCCCTCCCGTGGGGTCTGTTACACCTATCGCGGGACGGAGGCGGGAGTACCACGCTACCGAGCGGTGTGACCCGACCTTTCAGTACGGTGTGACCCGACCTTTCAGTGCAGTACTACCCTTGTAGCGTGGGCAGAAGATGGACGGGAAGAGCTTCCATGACACCATATCCGACACCGATGGCAGAGATACGCCCTGAGGGAGTACTTTGCTGGATGAGGCACTGAGGTGTGTTTTTAGCACCACGCCTACTTATTCTATTGGTCACTTAATCAACGCGTACCTACAGATGTCCTTGTCGCCATACACACACGCTGAATCCACATTTAAATCAAATGCATATTGCTTTGTGTTTAGCATCAGGGGCACTGCACAAGTCACAATGAGGCAAGAAAAACAGCCATCCGAGCGAAAACACGTCACTGCTGCTACTTTGACCAATGAGCTCCTGTTCGTCTCCATTCATACACAAACAAGACATATTTTTTCTTCAGACGGCTATCCCATTTCTGATTGCAGCAAACTTGTACTTATCATTGAAATGTCTTCATAAACAAAGCTGCTCCGGGCCTCTCCTGAATACCAACCGATCCGCGGGCCGGAAAATGTTTAGAGATTAGCACGGAAGAGAGATTGTTGCATGTCTTTCATTCCAGAGTGACGGTGCCAATGACGTACTGGTGTGATAAATAGGTGCGGCGTACATGAAAACCGTGGTATTCCCGCTCATGTTTTCCCAAAGGGTTTCCTTAGCTAATCATTGCGAATCAGTATTCGACATGGGACGGGCCAGCCCTGGGCCGGGCTGGGCTTTGACGCTTTTTCTATGAATGGGCTCGGGCTGGGCCGGGCTGTGAACCCATTGGCCTGGGCCGGGCTTGACTGGGACTTTGTGACCCGCGGTGAACACTGTTGCAAAGGCTTACCTATACCCACTGATTTCCTTGCAGCTGGTGTACTTATCGTTTCACATGCACAGACGTCTTCATGCACAGATGTCACAGACGTCAGAGAAGTATGTGCTTCACGTAAATAGAACATATTTATCAAAATATGACTTTTGAGGTTCTGAACATCAAAAAGGCTGCAGGAAATAGTTTCGCCTATCAGCACTTTTTGTAGTAATGTGCGGAAGTTTTCACAGTATTCCTGAAGATGTGGTTGGCTTGAACATGTTCCACGTCTTGGCAGTCAGACACAAGGTGAGCACGCTCACAGCCCTGGCAGCAGCGCCCGGTCATATCCTATAAAAGGTACCGCGCTGGCATCCAGACTATACGGAGGACGTAACTTTTGTGGCATCCGGACTACGGAGGACGTAACTGTTGAGCGAGTCTACGAGAACACGGAACAGGGCACAAGACACGGGACACTACACAATAAAGGGACACGGAAACGGGACACGGGACACGGGACACGGGACACGGGACACGGGACACCGGACACGGGGATGGGACACGGAACACGGGTTGGGACACGGGAGCGGGACACGGGGATGGGACACAGAACACGGGAACGGGACACGAGAACGAGACACGGGAACGTGTCCGGGAACGGAGCACGATAATTGGACATGTGGGCAGAGCACGGGAGCGGGACACGGAACGGAACACAAGACACGAGACTGCGGAAAATGGTTTCGACTTTTTGAAAGAGAGGGTTTTTGGCCGGGAGGAATACCTATTGCATAAGCCTCGACACGAGATCGCAAATAAACACATTCCGAACTCTTAACGACTTGTAACTAAGCGTCTGAGCGCATGCCATTATCGTCTTCCGTGCAATGATAATTGCAGCTAGAGTGACTACGCGCATTCTTGCCGGCTTTCCTCAGGCTCTTCTCAGCATTGGCCAAGCGTCAGCGTGGAACCATAGTGTGTGGAACCTTCTGACGGATTTATGAAGCATTCTGACGGAATCCCAAGATGACATGTAGGTATGCATTTAACTTAAGTGCGTCATTAATTAGATTTCAAACAAATCGGGGCACCGAGAGGTCTGGCTGACTTTGGCCGGGCCTCTTGGCCCGCTCGGGCCTGCCGAGGGGCGCCGGCTAGTGTTGAAAATCACGGGAGGGTGAGGCCACCGTGGCCCAGGATAAACACGCTGTCTGTGGTGCTAACTGCTGCGCACCTCGGGGACAGATGTCCAGGCAGACAAATTGCCTATGGATGATTGATTATGTGACTGGTACCGACCACACACGCATCACCGAGGTATATTTGAGGGCAGCACTTACATAGTTTTATAATAAATAGCGATATATGGTTTACACTTGACAGTCAACAATGTCGCGGGTTTCTCGGGGGTCATTTGGCTCGGTTACCTACCGAGTTGGCGCGTAATAATAACCGCGCGGCAGCACGTGGCGCACGTGGCACGGGTGGGGGTGAGGGCGGCGTGGCGTACGGCACGGGCGGGGGGTGAGGGCGGCGTGGCGTACGGCACGGGCGGGGGGAGGGCGGCGTGGCGTACGGCACGGGTGGGGGGTGAGGGCGGCGGACCCTCCGTGGCGGCTGGCCAATCGGGCTGGCAGAGGCCGCGGCCCGGAAGGGTGAACGCCCAGGAGTGCTCACACCAGGAGTGCAGGCACTCATGCCAGTGAGCGGCGTCTGCTAACACTCAGAGAGGCGCGTCAATTAGGCGGCTTATCAGCTGTGGCGGCCACTGCTCTAAATACGCCACCAGACAAATCGAGCGAAGATGTATCTGGACACAAATCAGTTCCTCGAGAATTCACGGGCCGGGTTTACGTAACTCAGTGCATCCTTGCTCTCTGTGGATCAATGATGCAAATTTTTTTCTGTTCGCGAGAAATAAACTGAGAGTAGAAAGGAAACGATTGAGCATGGGTCAGGTCAGCATGTGTGACTCGCAGTTCTGCACTAACAACTTGCAACATCTTATCCTCGCCGAATTTTTCTCAATAGCAACATGTGTATTGAAGACACCATCACCTCAACTGAAAAGCCATAGTGCATGTACATATGTGGGTATGTCGAATAAATAGGTATAAAGCAAATAAATAGACCACTGAGTGCTGAGTCCCGCGGGGCGCCAACGTGTGTCCGGTCAGACATTCTTCGGCATTCGACATTCTTCGAGTTGTTTGCTTGTTTAGGGAGATGGTCTGTGATCAATCATAAGTCGACAGAATAAGTTGGCTTTGGATTTGATTTAGCCACCATCTCACCACTATCTAGGTAAGCTATTGTTGAAGTAAGACATCAGTATTCTTCCCATTATAGCATTGCATCTCACTTGATATAGCGAACTTGTTTACCTACCGTGAAATCGTAATTCTCGTCCCTGTATGTGTTCCGGTCGAGATGTGGTTTTTGATCGGGATACATTTCATCGTCAGCCAGCCGGGATGACTGTCGCATGAATAGCGCTGCTACAGTTGTGCATGTGTACACAATACCGTCAATAATTGTGAGTGGGCTTCAGGTGCTATCCATAATTTGTAACATCGCACTTCAGTCTTCAGCAGTAAAACCATGAGTTTTTGCATTCAACAATCTTTGATTGTGTGTTGCATACGAAAGAAATTTACTAAAGCTCTTTCCTTGCATCCGCCATCCGGTTTATGCACTGATGTATGCACGTGCACCTTGCACTTACCTGATCGCTGACTAGGCTCGTGGCGTTAGCCCACGTGGCGGCCGCGGTCGTGGCGTCCTCCCACGGGGTCGTCTCAGTCGCCGGACCCTCCCCTGTTCCAGCTGTGGTGCCCAGCCCGCACCATCCCAGCACCAGAGCGCACACCAGCCGTGGCCCCATGGCACTCTGTGCTCCGGGCCGGTGCCGGAGGAGCGAGCCGTCACCGGGCGGGGGCCGCCGCGCGACTGCCGGACGGAGCGGCGGTACCGCGGCCAGAGACCTCCTCCCGGCACACACCCCCCCCCCCCCGCCCCGCCCCGACCACCTGAGGAGTCCGTGTGACACCCCTCACCCCCTCCCACACCCCCAGCGCTCAGCTGTGAGTGACGTCATCGACCGGTGAATGATGACGTCACCGCGACGGGAGCCGATCAGCTGGGTATGTTTATCAGCTGATTATATCTACTGCTCAGATCAGCTGATCGCGCCTGGCTGATAAGCGTGATTTTATTAAGATCATAGGTTTTTGTAAACAGTTGCAAGAAATATGCCACTTTCCTCAGATAACTTTAGTTTTTGCTACAGTTTTCCGATTTTCTTGTGCTTAAAATGATCAAAATAGAAAATACGTGTAGGTAATGTTTACAAAAGGAATTTTCAAACCTATCTTAACCCTCGCCGGCACAGGGGGGGGGGGTTGATGCAACCCCCCCTAAGGTTTTTCGCGAATAACTCACGTGAAAAGCGGCCGATCGCGACGAAACTTTCAGTACCCTCGCATTGTTCAATTTTACACCTACCCTGAAAATTTCATGACCCTGACCCCAATGACCTTTCACCTGTGACCTCTTTTCTGTGACCATGTTTGGCCGAAATCGCGGTTCGGCGCATGTCGGCTCGCATTAGCCGCGCGTTTGCAAGCTTTTCGTGGTTTCAAACGTTCAAACATGTGATTTAATGTTGCTTCCATGCATTAGGGTGGGTGTCAAGGTCACCTGAGGGTCAGGTCAGGTCATTGACCTTTGGTGACCTTGGGTGACCTCGGCTCACTTTTTCGAGTTTAAATGTTTCTAGGCTAGTTTTTGGAGCTGAATTCGAATTTAGCAACCATTTGAACATTTACGAAGTAGTTTTGGTGCCTTCGTAACATGTTACGAAGCTGTCCGAGGCGGTTGACACGTATTACGAATACCCGTCACAACCCCTACCGGTTGACCTGACCTGACCTGACCCGACCTGGTCTAAATGCTTAAAGACATCATCTATGATCAAAACTAACACGATATTCGTGATCAGCACCCCGGAAAACCACATAGCAGCCACACTTTACGACTTTCTAACAGGTCCCGATTTTCCCGGTTTTCGGGTCATTGACCTGACCTGGAAGGTCACCCGATGACCTAGGACCTTAAAATTGGGTATCATCGGCTTCGTCTCGTGACGGGCAACACGCTCGTTTTTTCCGCGAAGCTCTAGCTCGATCAGGGGCCAAACGCGAGGGGGGGTCGTACTAACCCCCCCCCCCCTTGTGCCGTCGAAGGACTCAAAATGGCCTGTGCCGGCGAGGGTTAAAATATATTTCCAGATAAGAAGAACTACATAAGTTTCTTCTATATGTCACCACATTCCATGGGTGAAACTTTGACATCACCATTGGGGTCCCAAACGTCCAAGGGGGACTCCATTTAGTGGGGGCCTCCAATTGCGGAAGCGGTAATTTACGAACCACGCCAGGGGCCCAGGGCCTCCTCTAAGAAATTTTCACTTGGGGACCAGAGGCTCAGAAGCCAAACCTAGGGTACCCCCAAATCCAGTTTTCTCATCCGATTTAGGCCACTTATTTTTCGTCACAACCCGTATGCCATGATTTTTTTTTTAACCCGCGCCCTGATGGGGTCTGCCGAGCAACGCGGTCTGATGGGGGGCCATTTGCCCCCCCCCCCTAAGATCTCAAGAACCACGCAACATAGCGACAAGCGGCAAACGGCGTTGAATAGCGCCAACGGAGAACTACCTTTTGACCCAATTTCATTGACCTCGGTCTAACTGATGACGTCACAGGTCAGGTCAAAGGTCAAATTTTCACCGTTTACAGGCATTTCAAGAAATGCGTTTAAAATCGAGTAAAATGCATTTCATTGAAAATCATCGATGGGGAAATGTTCGTCAAACACATATTTTGCTATTTGAGGTCACTGATACCAGGTCAGGTCACAGAGGTCAGGTCACTGAGGGTCACAAATTAAAAATATCACGTGATGCATGTTTTATGGTCCATTTTATATGCCAAATGCGATTATGTGGGACAGGCAGCCCTTGGGGTTAGTTGAGATTATGTTTTGGCGAAAGTCAGGTCAAGGTCAGGTCAAATTAGGTTAAATTTTATAGTTGATATTTTTGCACAAAATGGGTATCGATTCGACGCAGCTCGCCACGGGGAGTTCAATGGTGGTCTCTGTTTTGCGCTACGTGGTCTAGCATTGCTAAACATTTAGTTCAAAACTTTGACGTCATCAATTTTGAACATTTTTTCGCTATAACTTGGCCAAAAAAGGAGGTATCTATCTAAAATTTGGTTTGTATATCGAAAAGCAAATGAACTATAACATATATTCCGTTTTTCCTGAAAATCGAAAACTTTTTGGAAGTTTTTTGAGTTTTTCTAAAAAATCAAATTTTGGTAGTTTTTTGGGTTAAAATCCCAAAATTTTGAAAATCCGAGATAGCAGTTTTGTAGCGCCGTCTTTTCTCTACACAACCCCATAAAGAACATTAAAATTGCTTGTTAACTGTAGATTTGGTGAGCGTTCCAATATGTCATGTTTTTGCTCATTTTTACTCGAACATGACCTCAGTTTGACCTCAATAACTCCTGACCCAAGGTGACCTGTGACTTGAAATTTTGTTTGAAGGTGTCAAATTGATGCCCGGGAAGGTACCAAAAATTTGGCGGCGCTGTGCGCCGCCGTTTTCTCGCTATTGAAGAAAAACCACAGGGGGGGGGGGCAAAATGGCCTCCCATCAGGGCGCGGGTTAATATTAACCCGGCAGTTGCTGGGGTATTTCGCCACCCACCGTTTGCTGGGGAGGGGGGGGCCGTTAAACGCCCCCAGCCGATAACTCGAGAAACAATAGGCGCAGCGAAACGCACGAGGCGGCAAACGAAATAACGCGACGAGACGCTTCAGATGAATACTTTAAAGTTGAATTTTGGGGTCACAGGTCGGGTCAAGGTCAGGTCAAACACCTGAAATCGGGCTTTCAGTAGCATGGACTTCAGGACTTCGCAATGGGCGCCTCTCGTCATAAACTCTGTCAAAACGGTGCACAATCCATCATATAAGGCCTACAAGAGTGTCAGCTCCATGTAGGGCCGGGGTCAGTCAAGCATAGGTCAGGACTCAGGGTCAAGGTCAGGTCAACCGGGTAGGCACATATCCCCAAAATCAAAACTGATATTCGCAGCCTGTGACACATGTTTTATAGGTAATTTGGGGCGTAGAACACGATAGTGACATTCATTTTATCATATGTGTACGTGTTCGGCTCAAAAAGTTCAATTTAAGAAATGCATGTTTCATGGTCGTGAAGTAGTTAGTCACGAGAAATTGCCAAGACTCAGTTCAAGATTATGGAAAATGCGGAACGATAATCAAAAATCGAAGATAGCTATTTGATTGATCATGGTATTGACAGTCTAATGGCGTTTACGGCATGTCTGTATGTCTGTTCTGTGATTTTATATGATTTTTTGAACATATGCCCTTTTTGGTCGAAAACTCAGAAATCATGACGTCACTAAAACCTCGATATCTCAAACATTTCTGACCGATTTTTTTTTAAACTTAGTCGCAGGGGCATTCCACGATAGATCGACCAAGGCCTAACACCCGACCATTTTTGATTTTGATGAAATCTTGTCTATAGGGTTCTCTTATGCCCTGAAGTCAATGGTGACAACGCCAGGCCCCTACGTTCAGCGGTTTAGGAGATATAGCCCCGGGCATTTTGACGAGGTCACTCTGCAGAGTGATTTTTGAAGTGCTATATCTCCTAAAGGAATGAAGGAAATGCATTAAACCTTTGCATCGTTGTGATCGTGGTGAAATGGGCAATTAATTGGCCATCTCGGATTTTCAAAGAAATGATTTTGATTTTTAGCTGTGACGTCATCAATTTTTAAACTTTCTGGCTACCCCCCTAGTACATTAAAATTTGTCATTATTTTTGCTCAGAAATATAGATCGGTCAATGTTCTTTTGACTGTCAAAAAATAAAAATGGTTATCTTTCTATAAATATTTTATTTTATTTTTTGAAAACAACTCTGCAATATGAAATTTGCATACATTTGCTCTGAAACGACAAATAGGTGCAGCTGGCACGGACAGTGGAAGGACTGGATTTATAAAACACCTAAATAATATTTTCTTGAATATTTTTCGCAACTGGAACAAAGCGTAAGATATTTTAATTTAACCCTCGCCGGCCGAGGGGGGGGGGCGGGTGCCGCCCCCCCCCATAGGGTTTTTTTTTCGCGATAGCTCCGAACACGCTGGCGATAGAGAGCTGAAACTCGGCATACCTGACCTTTGATCCAAGCCGGATCTTTTGACACCAACCGCATTTTTGGGTCAGGTCAGGTCACTGACCTATGACGTCATAAGTGAACCTCTGCACGGTCTTCAGATGTCGCAACTTCGCAACGCCCTCACTGCCAGAGGAGATGTCACAGGGAAATGAAACTTGCAGGATCTAGTATCCATTATGAGTCTCACAACTTGTATATCTCGGATTTTTCCTAAAGGTCATATGAGGTCAGGTCATTTTCGTGACCTCACCATTATAAGTCAATGGGGAAAAATTCAAACTGCTATTCTGGCGCCGGGAACGATCTCCAACTATCTCAAGCACACAGAAACGTGATTTGATGCACTCCTTGCAAGGTTAGATGCGTCACTTTTGCAATGTTGACCTTGCGTGACGTCATTTATGACGTCATCAAGGTCATATTAGTTTTTCGTCAATAACTCTTGATCAAATTGAGCTAGCGAGTCGAGAAAGCCACCAATGGACTCAGGAAGACCTGCCGAATCGAATGATATGCGACATGACCTCTTTCGACCAACTTCGTGACCTGGGGGTGCTGACCTGACCTTGACCTGAGGTCAACACCCAAAGTTGACCTGACCCGGACAAAAAGTATATCATTCGACGCGCCTGAGCGAGACAAACACGATGCTGCCAAAATCGGCGCTCTGCGGCCGTTTTTTGCGAAGTTATTCACCAAAAACTGAACCGTACCTTTGGGCACTTGACCTG